TTTGTGTAATTTCATTTATTATTTTACTTACCACCTACAATATTTTTCTATTAGAATGAATATCAAAAAATTTGATAGGCACTGGTTTTAATGGTATCATTAATATAGTGTCACTAATAAATAAAACGCAATACGTTCAACACAGTAACGGGAGCTTGCGACTCGCGTTTAGTACTTTTGAGGTTAAATCAAGTGAACGTATGTGCTATTTACTGAGTAAGCAGCGACACCTGGTGGGGGCAGACTGGATAAGGATAATTGACGAATTATCACTTGCGCAGTCATCGACCGAGTCCAAAAATAATAAATTGAGATTATTTATTGAACAATAGCAATTAGGAGTATAAAAAATAGATAAAAACCTATTCGCAGACCTACTGAATGTATTTACATAATTTCATTAAAAAAAATCAAGAACTGATCTGCAACTTGTCTCCGCAAATCAAGAGCTAGTCATTCAAACTGCTTTCTTGCTGTAAAACAAGAAAAGAGCAAGGAGGCGGTATAGTGGAAGTAACTGATATAGTAATCTTAAAGCTATCGGCGAACTCAAAGGCCAAAAAAACCAATACAAAGAAATAATGCCGCTACGAATTAGTCCACGTGGACTGAAGAATTGGCGATTCGTATTGGATAATTTTTACTAACCGAGTTTTATGATTGGCTAAAGAGTCATAAAATTAAATTTTGAAGTCATGTTACGGAGACGAATAGAATGCGAGCCTTCGTATTGTCAATGTTCAGTTCAGGAACTGATCGCGATTTGAGTGTAGAAATTCTATATTGGTGAAGTTATGATTACTCAAAAATGTTGTTTGAAATGTGGCGTCCTTGGACAAGTACTAATAGTAATAACGAGTGTGTTAATGACACAGACTTTTTCCTGTGTAGTGATTCCAATAACGCTGGTGAACAGTGCGGAAAAGAGACACCAGTGAATAAGATTCGGACGCATTTGAATATTGAAACACAGAGACTATGTTTCAATGTATATAAGAATCTACATATCAAGTTTGGTTTCGAGGGAAAAAAACTATTACAAGCAACATCAGATTTGACCGAAATTCCTTTCTCAACTGTACGTAAACTAGTCAAAAACAAACCTCATGAACGCAAGATGCGATGTGATGCGGGATTACCAAAACCTTCAGATGTTCATCTAATAAAATCATTAAAAAAAACAATATACGACTGTTACAAAAGCAATGAGATTCCTATATTTGAAATCATAAGGAAGAAATTGAATACTTCCGGCCATAACGTGAGCTGCTGTGACAAAACTCTTCAGAATTGGATAGAGAAACTGGGATTCAGATTTGAAATAATAAACAAACGTCGAGCAGTTATGGAAAGAAAATAACTGAATATAGACAAGAACCATGGCAAATTTTCTATTTGGAAGAAACTTGGAATGAAACTCACGAAACAGTTGCGAAAGGGTGGACTGATAGTTCGAGAATGTGTACGCCTAACATGCCTGCAAACAAAGGATCGTGACTAATCATTGTGCATTGCAGAGGAAGTAAAGGATGGGTTCCGAATTCTTTGAAAGTATGTGGAAAAAAACTTGAGGACTGCAATGTTTACTATCATAAGAACATGGAAGCTAATATTTTTGAAGAATGGTTTGAAAACACATTGTTCCCAAATTTGGATGCGAATAGTGTAATATTTCTTGGCAACGCTTCCTATCATTCGAGACAGCTCATCAAAGTACCGAATAAAAATTCGAGGAAAGATGAGATACAAAGTTTTTTAATGGAAAACAATTTGTATTTTGAAGATAACTATACCAAAAACCAACTACTTGAAGTTTTACAGACAAAAACATTTGAAAAATTGTATGCCCTTATTAGTATTGCTGAAAAGTATGGACACACCATATTGAGACTTACCACTCGAGAATCGAGTGGTCGAATACCCGAAATTTGTGTTGGCTGGACTGAATTTCCGCTTCCGCAGGTGAGAAGAAATCTTAGGAAAATAGATCTCTTTGAGTGAAGCCTCCGAACTGGTAACATCTCTTTCTCGTGCAAGTGAAACTGTTCGTTTTGTCAAAGCAACGTCGCGCTTTTATATTTTGTGTTTCATTAGTCATAGTGTTTTAGTGTTAATAAATTCCATCATTGATTAACGTCGAGTGTTAATTAATAAATTTACCTATCACAGTCTCAACACTGTCATATACGGGTTCATTTTTTTAAATGCGTCGCAAACAATTTCCAAAAATAGTAATATATTGGGAATTTTCCCATGAAAACTATTTACCTCCTTTAGCCGTGAGAACAACGATTCAAAATCGAATAAACGAACAAAATTAAAACGTTCAATCTATGATTTTGATTAATTTCATGAGTATTCGATCCCCATTTTCCCAAATATCCATTACACGTTAATGATAAACGGGAACCAATTTCGAATAAAACTGTATCTCGAGGTGAAATTGTTAGTCATTATTCAGAATAAATTGATACTGACAAAACACAATCAAATTCGAAATTCCATTATATCTGCCGTGTCCCTCACACATGCCAGGTTGAGCTTTTTTGTTGAACGTAAATCGTACTGACGGGCGTGTTGAGTGAATTGGAATTTCATTAATTGCGGATTATTCACGAACTAAATCGAAATCGAACAGGCGAATGGAATTTTTATCGAGCACATCCTATCTTCGAATTAGTTTTACTTCACTTCTAATCGTTTTGTCTCGTTTGGTGAAAGCAGCAAACAGGCCAATGGAGTTTCATTCTAATTCAGACGTATTCAACCGAGCAGCTCATATAAGCATATCAACGTGATCATACAGGGTGTAACTAAATAACACAAAAAAGTAGAAAATAATTTAAAAGTGCACACTTTTACTTTTTCTTCTTTACTGTTGATAGGTACTATCTCTCAATAAACCCCAAATATAGTATCACATCATGTTTTCATTGCATTGGCCTTGATAACGTAGTTCGAAGGTCATAATGTCCTGGTGGAAACATTTTCCTTTCTCTTCTAAATACGCTTCCGTGTTGTTTTTGAATGTATCTAAATGATCATGCAGCATATGTACTTTTAATAACATCCTGCAGCCCATGGTCTCAAAATTGTTTAGCATATATGCTTCGTAGGCTTCACAGAGAACGTAATATCTATTTAATTCGTATTTGACATCTCCAACTTCAATAAATTGCCCATATTTATAACAAAATGCATCAGCATCATATATGCACTCTCTCTACAACATTTTAAGTTGCTCTAGATTTGTTCAAAACACCTTATCGTTGTTTATCACTCTAGTGCCATCTATCAGCACTATGTGAACGATCAAACACCACTCACAAAACACCAATTTTTTTATAATCGTTGTTTATCGCTCTACCCACATATCACAAGATATTCATGGAATAATTCCTCTATGTCATAAAACGAACGTATATATACATGCCTTTAGAATACTCATAGAATATGCTTGAATGAATATGGCAGGGTTATTCCCGAAAGAATTATGCATAGAATGTCTATAAATGGACTATTCTCCCGTGAATATTCTAAGAATATTGTCGATCGAATATACCATATGGTACACCTATTCTTAGAATATATCCCCACGGTATATTTTGGAATATTCTATAGGATGTATTACTGGAATTTTGAATTATCTTATGATATGGTGTTCAAATAATTCAATTCGATATTATTGAAAATGCATAACCTAATGTAAATAAAACCCTAATAGTGTTAACCAGTTTTTGAACTTAACGCGAAGATTCTGATGAATTGCTCCAACTACAACTGTTGGAAACGACAAAAAAAATCGAATGGTCCAATAAATTAACCAATTGCATCAATGGATCGGTTTCTTCTCATCCTATTTGTCTTTTTGTATTTAAAATTATTCAATTACAAAGCGACAAATCCTGGCAACAGAGAAATGGGGAAGTGAAGTTTTGGAGTAAACGTTTCTCATTGGTCAATTGAAGTGTAGCGCGCGACAGTCGAAGCTCTGTGAGAGCGACTGCCCCTTAACGCTTGACAGCTTTGCGTTGAAATCGACACTTGATTTAACATGGCGGTTGACATGGCAGGTTCGCGTGTGTAATGCATGGTGTATTGTTGTTATTATCAAAGTATAATTCTCTCATGTTTAGTGTACCATTTATAGTTTAGGGCTGTCCAATTTGCAGTGCAACGAATAGTTTGCTTTTGCATCTTCAAACACTAGAGTTACATATTATTAATGATTCTTTAAGAAAAGTAAGTGAAAGACAATAGTATCCATAATAAAGGCATGGTGCTTAACCTACAATACCTCATTTCAGGCCCTAGGAGAGTTGGTGTGTGGGATTTGTTGGTTTGACTAAGTACATGTTTGAACTAGAGTGATTTCAGTTGTGTATCTTCCGTAGAGGAAAGTAAGTGAATGCCACATTCTTTTGTATCATTTGTTTTCATAATTTTTATCACTTGTTATCAAGATAGTATCAATATACCCAAAAGGAAACGGAGTGGTACCTGGTACATGCAAGTTGCTCTCCAAGTCATAAAAAGTTGTAAATGTTCATGAGGAACCTATGACAAAAATATCTATTTGATTTTTATTCCAACTTCATTGTGCCACTCTCAAATAGTGATAATGAACGATAATGTACATTTTGTTCCAGGTATCAATATTGAAACACTGGCTGATGCATTGTTGGACAAATATCAGAAAAACTTTTCTGGTGAGCAAAGTTTGGATAACTTTAAGTAAGTGAAATTCATTGAAGAACCCAT